AATCCGCTTGATCATAATGTCAGTCTTGTTATGGATGAAATGTCATTAAAGCAGCATTTAGAGTATGATTTTCATACCAAAAACTGTGTCAGAAATTCTGACAGGGTTTATGGTATGAAAAATGGAAAACTTTTAAATCAGGCTCTTGTAATTATGGTTAGAGGCTTGGCAAATAAATGGAAACAACCAATAGCTTATTTTTATAATAATTCAACAGTAGCAACAGCTGACTTGGCTTCTTTACTACGTGAAACCATTTCTAAGGTTCAAGAAACTGGTTTACACATTAGATGTGTAGTTTGTGATCAAGGATGGTAAATTTTTGGAAAAAATTTACCATTCTTTCCTAATCCTACCAATAATAAAAATATTCATGTTATTTTTGGTCCTCCGCATTTAGTAAAAAGTATCAGAAACAATTTGCGAAGACATAACATTGACATTAATGGTGAAATAGTTTCTTGGCAACACATTCAGTCTCTTTACAATTTAGACAAAATAAACTCTGTGCGTCTAGCGCCAAAACTAACAGATAGACGCTTAGACCCTGGTCCTCTTTTATCTATGAAGGTCAAACTTGCCACTCAAGCTTTTAGTTATCAGGTAGCTTTTGCATTGTATTGCTGCTCTAATACAAATTTACTTCCTTTAAGTGTATTACCAACAGCAAGATTTGTTGAACGCATGGATACTTTATTAGATATATTGAATTCATATAAATTATATGCAGATAAACTAGCTTGTTGTGCTCTAACTTTAAAAGGAGCCAGTATCTCTCAGTTGGAAGAGTTAAAGCATTGGATTGAGAAATGGAAATTTTGTAATGTTAGAAGTCAAGCATGTATATCATGTCATTGGGTTTTAAGTGTCACATTTAATAGTGTTCTAACCTTAAGTAGAGAGCTATTTTCTGAAGGTTTTCAATTTGTTTGTACTTCTCATTTTAATCAGGACTACATTGAGAATTTTTTTTTCCATTATTCAAAGCAAAGGTTGTTGGAATGACCGTACAAATGTTAGACAATTTTGAGCTGCTTATAGAAATGCTTTATTACTTTTATCTGTAGAAAAAAGTAAATCCAATAGCATCTGTATAAAGGATTCAAATTTTGAGACAGCTTTCAAACTAAATGATTTTATGAAGTATTGTAATCAAGGAATTACTAATTGTGGAGTTTATGAAACAGAAAATAACAAACCTAAAGGAATATCTTATTTTCATCCAGGGTCGTTTTATATGTTTACTGGAAAAATTTTAATGCAACCAAAGGGTCAAGCCCTTTTACACATGGCTGGATGGCTTATTCAAAAAGTTAAATTATGTCATAGGTGTGCAGATGTACTATTTCTTAGTTCAGCTGACAATCCATCAGCTTTTATGTCACTAGTTTGTGAAATGGAAACAACTTTTACAAAATTTATTGATAAATATCTTGAAAGAGATGAACTGGCCATGATTCTCATAAATAAAATTAAAAAAAAATGTCATTTTCAGTTTTTGCACAATCAACATGAAGAATATGCGCTTTATTTGGTAAAAAACATTGTTCTGTTTTTTGTTATTACAAGAATTTTTTTATTTCATAAAAATAATTTAAACAGAGACATAAACCCACGCAATAAGTCAAATGCAAAAAAAAAAAAAATTTTTGTAATAAGGTGCACTAATAACTTTAAAAAAAATTATGTTGTTTATTACAAGAATTTTTTATTTTATAAAATCCACCCAAAAAGTCCAAAAGAATTATATCATAATACACCCAAATTGCAATTTCAAAAATGCACCTATTGCCCTTTGGTATATTATTATATTATTTTTTCAATTTAATTATTATAATGAGACTTAGTTATGTTATAATGTATATTAATAACTTTTGTTAATATATAATGTTAATAACTTTTATGTATAATAATATACTTTTATGTTATAAAAAAATTACACTAACTTTGTGTTCTACAAAACTCTATTTAATGTATCTTAATGTTACAAAATTGAGATATCTTGAATACAAATTTGAGATATTTACAAATATCACATTAAACAAAGATACAAAGTTTATTTAAAAAAAAAACTATTTGTGTTAGTTGCGGAAGAGGTCATGCAGGACATCCCAGAATGCAATTTCGATCAATTAACAGGAGTGGATAGGCTTTGCTTAAGAACGTTAAATCAAATATACATTCACAAATAAAATGATGTTAAATTTGTTTATAAAAAAGATTTTTTTTAAATTTTAAATATCTTAGGTATAACATTTGAGATTTTCGATAAGTTAAATGAAGATTTCTTTTTTCTAAATTTATTTAAACATTGCAATATAGCTATAAAAAGTAACAACAATGACAATAGTTTTTATTTGGCCATATCTTAACTCCCTCTCCCCTTGATTTTTTAGATTGCAAAAATTTGTCACATTTATTGATCCGCATTAAAAACAGCTTTTTGTTTGTTTTTTACAAAACACTATAACACAATTTAGTTCTAACGAGGCTTACAGTCAAATAAACATTTTTTAAAGTTTTTTTAAAATTGTTTTATAGTTTAAATTTAAAAGTTGTTTTATAGTTTAAATAAGATTTTAAAATGCTGATATAAGTTTTATACTTTAGTTAGGGTTGGTGTAGCTTAGTAAGCTTGAGATGGGTAGAATAATTTTCCTAAAATAAACGTAATAAATTAAATACTTTTAAAAATAATTACAGCTATTTTACAACGCCCCCATTAAACATTCAAAACCGAGTGTACAACAACTAAACAATTTAGATAACCATCAAAATAGTATTATACTCCATTATTTTTTGGCAATTTTTTAAGATGAATTAATTTAAGTAAAAATATTGAAGTAAACAAATCATAGGTATAGAAATGATCGGTGTGGAATAGATAAGTATAGAAAAGGTTGGTTTGGTAAAAGCTCGTATTTTATGGGTCTGGAAAGATAGGATATATATATATATATATATATATATATATATATATATATATATATATATATATATATATAAAAGGAAAAAGTATAGAAAAGGTCATTGTGAAATAGACTTACAAAAACCCTTATTTTTACGGGTCAGATCAGCTAGTTCTAAACAATAAGGAAAGAAACTACAACTTCACTAGCCTAACATTAAATAAACTGAATAACCACAATTTCGAGTACATAACTTGGTTCCGTAAAAGCATAAAAATTATATTTTAAAAATATGATCGGACACTGTTCGACCCAAACAAGTTTTGATCGGACATTTTGTCTGGGACTTTGAAAAAAATTAAATTGAGCCCTGTATATAGAACACATTTAGAGGGTAAGAGCAGACATTAGGTTAACCATTAAAAAAAGTTATTTTAATGGTTAACCTATTTTACATTCCTTTAAAACTAAATTTATATTTTAAAAATCATTTAATTTAAAGCTTTTTACATCAAAAAAAAAATTTTATAAAATAATTTGTTCCTTTAAAAAGTTTACAGTTGTGGTTAAATGCTTTTTTATGACCTTTTTTATGACTATTTTCTGAATAAATATCACATAAAAGATGTTAAAAGATGATTTAAATATTCCAAAATAAAAAAGATGATTGTAGCGGACACTACAAATGTAAACACTGAATAAAGGAATAGGATTGTCAGTCAGTTACAAAGACATTTAACTTAAAAGAAACTGGAAGAACCACAATTCATTTGTTGTCAGCATTATGGATGAGGAACTTAAAGGAAACAACATTTCGCCCAATATCAAACAAGAATTTCAAGAATAGTAATTGAAGTGATTACTGAAATAGCAGGATATGATGCCCAATTATTTTTATTTCATTTAACTTTGGTATTCGTGTTTTTTTAAGATATTGGAGTATTTATTAAAGTGAAGTTTCAGAAAAAACCTAAATTAATTAACGTAAGTTGGAATTCCAAAGCAATACTAGCTCTTTTAGCATTTATTCTTCTACCAGGGAGATAAGACTCATTACGCCATGTTTGTAGATAAACCTCTTACAGATGGGCAGACCATGGGTTTACTGACTAAATGTACAATGCAGAGGATTATTGGAAGCCCTGTAGCAGCTTGCAAAGTTATGAAAAAGCATAAGTAAAAAAGTTTTGTAATCAGGGACCATCAAGACTGGAAAACCCCTGAACAAATTAGTGTGCAGAAGGAGCAATCAAGTATCTACAAATTCTTTTTGACATCTGTAAATAGAAAGATTTATTTTGTCTGACAAAGTATAAGAATTGTATATTACGCTTTAATTAAGCTGAATACTGCATAACATTTTTTAGATATATACAGTAGCTTTTTGTACATTTTTAATAATGCTGTATTAGCAATAAAGGTTTTAATATTTAAAAAATATATATATAATCTTTAAATTTGACATTTTAACTAACTACATATTCAAAAAATTTAACTTTAAATTAAAAATCTGGTATGTAAAATTTAAAACTGAAGACATTAAAAAGAAATATTAACAGACAAAATGTCCTTAACAAACCAAATTAAAATTAAATTAAAAATAAAAATTGATTAGTTGTAAATATAAATTTAACTGTTACATCTTTACAATATTTTTAAATAATTTTAGTTTTTGTAAAAACTGAGTAAAATTCAATAAATGAAAGTTTAAAATATTTATACTAAGATTATTAATAATATAATTGATTGTTTTTTTAAAACTACATGTAATTCTTTTTTTAAGTTGAGTTTTGTTATATTCATATTATACTTTTGTGATTTGTTATATAACTTTGTAATTTCTGCCTATGGTAGATGATGCAGACAATAGAAGATAAATGATGCAGACAATAGAAGGCTTTTACTAATGATAGTATTAATGTCTATAGATGAAAAAGGAATACAATTTTGATTGCATAGATGTTTGTTTGAAGAAAATTATTATTAAAAATATACCTGGCATAACATTATTAAATAATAAACAATTATCATTAAAAAAAAATACCTGGCTTAACTTCAATTAATAATAAATACTTATAACTAAAAACATACCTGGCTTAACGTCAAGATCTTCAGCCCAATCAGATTTAATGCTAGGTTGAGTCTCATCCCAAGAATCAACAGTCACTGAATTAACTTCTTTAACTTGAGATAAAATATAAAGGTAGATATTAAAAATCATACTTTAAAAGAAACTAAACTTAAGCATATTTTAAAAATAATAATAAGAAAAAACTCAGAAAATTCAAAATAAATTTTTTTTATTTTAATTTTACAATTTCCTCTTTAAGGTGATATCGAGCATTAGTTCTATTTTTTTATATTTTACACATAATAAATACCTTTGATGAATTACTAGCATAATAGATAAAAATCTAAAACGTAATGCAATTTTTTTTTTAAATTAATAAAACATAATTGCTGACTCAGCAAAAAAAGATGAAAATGTTAACGTCACAAGAACATAAATATCTTAAGAATACATTAATATTAAGAGTTTAAATTTTGCAAAAAGCTAGTACACTAGTGTAGCTAGTGCCTGAACCAAAAATTTTTGAAAAAAATTTAAACTATCAAAAATGGCAGACTTAATGATATAAAAAACTATTTTTAGCGATAAAACACTAATTAGATATGGTAATTGTAGGTTAAGCCTAATTTTTTAAAATGTTTTTTCAGGTTCAGGCACTTAAAACATCAATAATGAACATATCCTAAAAATTTGAAGCTAAAATAATTTTTTTTTATTGAGATATCATTGTTTTGCTACAGCTACCCGTACAAAAAACAAAAATTGAGAAAAATCAATTTTAAAATTATAAATCATGTATACTACTCAGATAAATCATTAAAAACCACCAGCACAATAATCTTTTGCAGTTTCTTTATCTAATTTTTGTCAAAAATAGTTTTTTCTAACAGATCTTAATTTTTTTTGCTTCATCTGAGATTTTTTTATTCATATTTTTTAGCCGTATAGAGTTTTTTTTAATTGCACCAATTTCAAAGTAACTACCAGATTTAATATTAGGAGCATCAAATACAGAAGATAACTTAGCAAAACCATCATTATAAGTAATGGTTGCAGAGTAAACAGCCATTTTAACAACAACTTTAGAGGTGAATATAATTTTAGGGGATCGGTTCCAAATTAGTTGATTAAACGCTTTAATTCCATTTTGAGTCATGCCATGCAAACATTTTGCAAGCATATCAGTATTTGCTAGATCTTGAAATACTGGCTTGATCTTTTCCACAATGGCAACGGGTAAATTCACCTTTTTCTTGTATGTAACATGACCAGTTGCTCTGTCAGACTGCCATTTACACCAGCTTTTTTCACCCTTGGTGCAAAACATATGACTATATTCTTCAGAGGTAAAATTAGTGCAATGATGAAGTGAAGCTATTACAGAGTTCCTCATTTCCAAAAGACTATTTGAATTTTGTCGAATAGCCATTCCAACATAATTTTGCAAGATGTATCAAATAATTTTGCAAGATGTATCAAATACTTTGTTGTTGTCGTGAGACGTTGCTACCACAACACCGTTCAAAGAAGAATATCTTCTCCACTGCCAGGTACCATCAATAGAAACACCACAGTCAATAACATCATTCATATTAGAGTCAGGTTCATTCAGGTAGAGTCAGTACTCTCCTAACTTCCATAGCAGCATTTTTCATACTTTGCTCAGCAACTGATTTATAAGCATAGTAAAGTTTGCTATTAATACAGTCAAAACTAGGTTGTGATAAAGGTGGTGGCATGTTCATTATGGAGGTAAAAGTTAACATTGCATCTCTGCCTCTGTCAATCTCCCTGAATACCATAATACTGCGTACATTAATTTCACTAGTATTTATACCAGGTTTATTGTTTTTGACAACAGGAGAAAAAAAATGTATCTTTAAAAGCACAACCACTGCAATAAATTTGAAAAAACAAAGAAAAACCCAAGTGTCTTGAATGATCATGCAACATGGAAAGCTTTGTACCACATATATTACAAGTAGCATACTTTTCAAAACAACTTTTTATTTGTTTAAAATGCATAAAAAATATAAAATCGTCGTTATCAAATAATGTTTTTTCAAGATTATTTTTTAGCTTTTTACTACTTGTAGAACTTCCTGTGTTTGTATCAAATTGTTTATTGGTGTTATTGGAATTATTATGCTGATTGCCATTAAACTTTCTTTTCCATGGTCTTATTATTATTTCTTTGTTGGCCATAATATACTTTTCAACAACTTTTAAACTGTAATAGGTAAGATACAAAAATTAAAAGTGTAAAGCACTATTTCATCTGAATTCAAAAAGGCAACAACACAATGTTAAACCGTTAAAAATAGCAATGTAACTTAGATTTATGACATTTAGACCAATATAAACTTAAAACATTAAAAAAAGAATAGTTACAGGCTTGGCATGTCTAGTTTTCAGAGACTAACTTATAGGATAAAACGGTTGCTATGGTCATTGCTATGTGATTTAAAAATACCTTGATATGTTTGAGAAGAGTATTCTTGATATTCTAACATTATTTTTGAAAAAATATTTTTTCTATTGAATTCTACAATATTCAATTGTATGAATAACATTTTTTCAAATTTTTCATATTTTTTTTTTTTTTTCACCAAAATAATGGCTGGATACCTTAATAACAAAATCTTAAAATAGTTTTTTTAATTTATATTTCTTATTAACTCAATCGCTAATTTGTAAAAAAAAAATTTGCGAAATTAAAAGTTTACT